ACATTGGTGAATGCCACAAATTCTCCTAAATCACTCGTACGCACAATTTAAGAACAAATCGGTGCGTACGAACGGTTCTTGCATGAGGCCCAATGAGTCCATCATAGAACAAACAGTAAAAACAACCAGTCACTCTCTCACCCACACCGAGGGACATGTTAGAGTTACTAATTAGCTTAACATTTATGTTTTTGGTCTGTGGCAGGAAACCAAAGCACCTGGAGAAAACCCATTCATGCACAGAAAGAAAAGGCAAACTCTATCCAGAAAGGTCCCTGGCTGGGAATCTATCTGGCAACCTTCTTGCTGAGAGACAACAGCTCTACCAACTGAGCTGCCAGTGGAACAGTCTTTTATGAATTTATACATGCAAATCTGTGATTAATAAAATGTTTATAAACTCATGAATACCATCTTTTTCAAACAATATTAAAAGGTCCCTTCAAGTGGTACCAAGGTACCTATTAGCAAACAAGTCACCACAGAATGTTTTTATACAATACAAAGCATTGCATTGGTTTGTATTGTTAATAGTATTTAGATTAGTTATATGTTATATAAAAGCAATCCACCACTGCATGGCATCTCTCAAATATGGTCAGTGTACACAGAAATTGAAATATTCATCCTAACAGATAGCCAAGCTGCTATTAGAGCTCTTCAAAGGCCACACTTTACGTCATTACTGGCTTGGAAGTGTGCCGAAGCATCAACCGACTGGGGAGAAATAACAGTGTCACTGTTGAATGGGTACCAGGACATACTGGCATTAATAGTAACAAGAGAGCTGACTACCTAACAAAAGCTGGCAGTCAGGCTCACTTCAAAGGACCAGAGCCTGTTGTAGGTATCTCAACAACAGTCTGTAGGACTGCCCTACAGGCCTGGATTAGACGTCAACACTCAGTCTGCTGGAGGGAGCTGACGGACTGTAGACAGGCATGAGAACTGATTAATGGACCAAATCTAAGGTTTGGGAAATCTCTCATTGCTCTGACAAGGAAAACTCTAAGTACACTGGTTGGAGTAACTGGACAAAATTTGCTCAATCCCCACAAATTGGTGATGGGACTCCCTGACAATGGTCTGTGTGATGTCTGTGGCTTTGAATAAAATACCTCTTTGCCCTACTTAGGCCACTGCCTGGCTCTGAACAGTCAAACAAAAATAATGCTTGGGGACCCTTTAATGGATACAGAAAAGCTCAGAACACTTCTAACCTCGTGCCTATCATCTGAGGGACGCAAAGATTTAAATAAAGACCAGTGTCTTTTTGGGGAGAGGAGTGGGCTCACTTACAAGGCCTCCGCTCATATGGGTTCCTTATCCATCCCCAGTCACCATAACCACAACCATAGCTTAGTTATTCAGTAGAGATATGACGTTTGTGAATGATCCGAATATTTTTAACGGCTCCTTACAGCAAACTATAAGAAACCAAGTTGCAGGTAAGAGATGTTCATAGTGTTATTTGTTTTAGTCCTCATAATGTCTTTATTTTCCTCCTGAGCCAGACACAATCGCTCCTCCTTCATTTTTTTTCACTCTGTGCTTGATGACTTACATCCCTTTGTGATGACAGAATTCGTTCAAAAACAAATGGCTCTTTTGAACGACTCTGAATCAAACAGCTCATAAAGATCTGGATCCTCTCAAAGAACGTAAAATTAAAGTAGACATATTAAGCTTTTAAATCCTTCTTTTTCACGTTTAAATCATTTAGATGGGGTCTATATAAAGTTGAACTGCAATGCTATTATCTTCTTATTGTAACTCCACAAGCCCCTTCTTCAACCCCTTTCTGAGGTGTGTCTCAGATTAATTCGTTTTGATGCTGTCTCTATAAATCCAAACAAAGCCCTTCATGCCCCGCCCCCTTCTACGATGGAGTATTAGGGCCACACGAGATTTTAATTTTTTTAAATTACGAGAATAAAGTCATAATATTACGACATTAAAGTCGCATAAAAATAAAGTCATAATATTATGAGAATGAAGTCATAATATTACGAGATGAAAGTCGTAAAATTACAAGTTTAAAGTCGTACTATTACGAGATTAAAGTCATAATATTACGAGATTAAAGTCATAATATTACGAGATTAAAAATCATATTATGAGAAAAAA